CCAGAGCCTAACAGAATCTCCTAGCAGGTCATCTCTAGACTCCAAGCACAGGGGCTAAATGACAGGCAGCTCTGAAACAGAGAGGATCCCTCGGTGCCAAGGGAATGTGTCTTGGAGTCATGTCAGGGACCAGATACTACGTTTTCTGCCTTGGTGTTCTTGCATCCTCCCCTACCCCTCTCCAGGGCCGTTAAGCACACAGCTTCCCTCCCCCTGGAATCCAAGCACAAAAACAAAAACTCATCACCTTCATGCGAATCAGCTGTGCAAATAGATTCCCAGGGAATCATAAACGCCAGCCTGCATCCGATGCACCCAGGCGAGCTGAATTCCTGATGGGCTCAGAAGATCTGTGGCCTCACGCATCTGTCAGCAGGATAAGAGATGGAATGAGTGAGTCCCAGGGCCCAGGGCCTCGCATGCAGCGGCTGCTCAGTAAGCCCACAGTGGTCACTGGTCTACACTTGAAGGAAGAAGAGGAATGAAGAGAGGAGAGAGGAGACAGAGGCAGGGAAGAGACGGTCTGCTGATGGCTGTGGTGATGATTCCTTGTAAAACTCCTGAGACCCAGCTCAGTTCTCCCGACCCTCGTGACTTCAGGTGTGGCCGGGAGCAGCAGCAGTAGCCCTGCCAGCAAGCTTATTGGAAATGTGGGTCACCAGGCGCCACTTACTCTGCTGTCTGCATCAGAACCTACAAAGTGCCTGCTGACTCTTCTGCCCTTCAAAGTCCAGGAATTTAGGCCACCGATTCTCCAAGTTGGCTGCACATTGGAATCATATGGACATTAAACAAAACAAAACCCAAAGAAAATGTGTGCTGAGGCCGCAGCTCCAGAGGCTTGATGTAATGTATTGGGAATATCCTGGCTGTTGGGCTTTTTCAGAGCTCTCTGGGGATTGCTAATGCACAGCAGAGTTTGAGAGTTAGTGTTCTATCTACTAGATTAGCCAGGATTGCATTCAGTTATGTGTAACAGTGTCCTTGATCTACAAAAGCGGAAAAAGAAAATGTGAAGCTAAGCAGATTGGAGCTAGGGCAATGGTTCCAGGAAGTAATCAAGGGCTACCTAATCCCCCAGAAGGGTGGGGCCATTGTCCTTGTGATCACAGATGGCTTCTGTATCCACAGGTGTCTCATTTTCATTCTAAGCAGGAAGACAGGTTTGGAGGAGGGAGAAAGACAAACCACTTTCAAAAACACAAATGCAAGGGGTGATCAAAAGATATAGTGTGCGTTGAAATATTGTGCACTGGGAGGCTGAGGCAGGAGGATCACTGCAAGTTCAAGGCCAACTTGGGCTACATAGTGAGTTCAAGGCAAGCCTTAACTACATGGTGAGACTCTCTCTTTCTCTCTCTCTCTTTCTCTCTACCTCTCTCTACCTATCTCTGTCTCTGTCTCT